ATATATATATATATATATATATTTCACTTTATAATAAAGTATTTGGGATATAATAAAAAATACATTTAATGGTCAATTAATATTGTGAAATAATAATTAAAATGGAACATTTTTTTTTTGTTTAAACATCAAACAAAATGGAAGAAAAAAGTATATAATAAAGAGAAATTATATTTGTACAATAAATTCTATAATAAGTTATACAACAAAGAAAGTGAAAAGGTCAAAAAAGAAAAATTGTAATACACTACGGAAGAAAAAATTAAATGATATGGTAAATATAAATAAATACACAAAAAATAATGCTAACTTCATTCTTATAATTATATATATAAAAAAATCTAACTCAACAATATCAATATAAACAATTAAATCAGTTAGTTTTTTATTTAATAAAAATTACAATGACGTAAATACATTTTAAATTTAAAAATCCGCGTATATTATTCCAATCTTAGTATGATTTTAATGGTTCATTAGTTAATTTTAATTACTAATATTATGATATAAATTTTTATTATAAAATATCAGTAAAACTAAATAGTGTAAATAGTAATTATATTTAAAGACATTAAATTAAAAATGAATTTTCTCATCCCAAAATAACTTATAGTGTTAAATAAATGCATTTAATTTAATAAAGGAATATGAATGAATGATTAATTAATAAATTCATAACAAATTAAAGATATAACATAAATTATTAATTAATATATTTAAAAATAGAACTATATTTTCTATAATCAAAACTAAAATAATAGAAGGATGATAATGTTGAATGAATCAATGAATCATTATTTTTTTCATCAAGTCAATGAATCATTATATATTGTATGTGTAGCAAATCTCTATAATTCATTACCCAAAAAAAATCTCAATAATTAAAAAAAGGACAGAAATGGAGTTTGGAAATTGAAAAATAGTTATAGCCCACTTTCAGAAAAAGTAATATATATAAAATATGGGTGGAAGTAAAGAAATTGAGAGTGTGAATAGCAATTTGGTTCACAAAAACCCTAAACGGTGGAGAATGTGGGGTTTACACTAATCGGTAATCAGATTCGGACCAAAGCCATTGACTTGTCTTCTCTCTGCCTCAGCTTCATACTGTTCTCGTCGAAATGGAGGTTCACGTTCCTACCCACTTACCCTCTCTTCTCCCCGCTCTCGCCGCCGACACACTTCTCGCCGCCGCGCAATCTATCGCTTTGGTATTTCAGTTTCTCTCCCAAAACCCTCTCTTTTCATTTCCCCTTCAATTCCACCTCTTTACTCTGTCCTTTACCAAATTAACAACTATGTTAACGTTTGCAGAATTAGGGTTTGTGTGTTTCACTGATTTACTTGCTTGAAACAGCCTCCTTAGTTAGGTCAAAGCAGGGATTTTTTTTTTTTTGCCTGCAAGTGCCTTTCGCATTAACTATAAGGATCGTCTTCAATTGTGTTTCATTGTTTGTTCTTCATTACTCTTCTAGCTCCTGTTTTCAATTTAGTTAAGTTTGTCTTTGATTGATGTACCGTTTTTGTGCTACAGGCTTTTGTTTAACATGATGTGATTTGGTGCTATAGATGCTATTTGTCACGAGGAAATATGCTATAGATGCTTTTGTGTTTGTTCTAAGTATAAACTATTGTCTTAGCAAGAAGTATAGAGGGTTCCAGACAAAGATTTGATGTTTTTTGTTTTTCCCCCCATTAGTTTGATCTGTGATCTGTCTGTTCAACACTTCAGTTTGTCTTTGTTAGGATTTGAGGCGAGAGAGAAACTGTTGACAAGTTACAAGCTAATTTTAAACTGTTGTTTATTTCTTGAATATGTACAAATCTTAAAACTGGCATCACAAGTGTTCAACATGTATGCCATGGGTTTAGTTGGTTTTAGATCTATCAGATGATGAGTTCAAACTATAGAATATCCTTGGCATTTGTCATGTATTGCATGAATTCGTTAAACAATTTAATTTACTTTTGTTTGTTTTCCTCCCAGATTGGTTATCTGCTGACTAATTCAGTGTCACCAAATTTGACCTCAATGGATGGAAGGTAAGAATAAACTGAAGTATCTCAGTGATATTAACTTTACTTTCTCACTTTACATGTCTTCTAACTTCAGGGAAGTCAAATTTACCTTGTTTCAAGGTAATACAGTTACTTATTATTTTTATGTCTATGTTAAATCCTGGTCAGGTTTCCTTTAGAAGAACTTTTTGGGAGGAAACACGCTTATCTAGAAAACAAAACTGGTAGTGAAACAGAGGATGATGAGGATGGAGATGACGACGATGAAGATGGACATGATGAGGATGATGATGCAGAGGATGAAGAATTCTCAGGGGAGGAAGGCGAGGAAGAAGGGGATCCTGATGATGATCCTGAGGCTAATGGTGGAGCAGGAAGTGATGATGGGGATGAGGATGACGATGACGATGGTGATGAGGAAGATGATGATGATGGGGAAGATGAAGAGGAGGATGAGGAGGAGGAGGAAGAGGAGGAGACTCCACAGCCACCAGCTAAGAAGAGAAAGTGAGAATTAATATTCGTGGCAAATTGTTTCCAGGGAATGCATTTGAGTCGAGCTTTAGTGATTAGGACAGATAAATTAGCAACCTTCTTGAGTAGACTTATCTTGCTTTATTATGTGTCAACGATGATAATTATTCTATTAGTATTTCTCATTGTTTCTTCGACTTTACCTTCTTGCTGCCAGTTATTATCGTTTGATACTTTTAGAAGGAAAAAAATGTCTCAATCGAATCAGTTTATTTTTTATGCACTTTAAAAAAATGAGCTTATGATTCGTATAGAATAGGGTCCAATCTAATTTAGCTGAACTGATGACGGAGCTGATTTTTTTTCTAAATTAGGTCATTTGCTTCACTGGCGTAATTCTTGATATTTATGATTTGATACTTTTACTAATAGTAGGATACTGTGATGATGATTCTGTCCATGCATGGTGTGTTTCTGAGTCTACATGCATAGGAATAGGATATTTATATTTGGTAACTACTTACCGGCGACTTGAAAGCTTAATTTGGTTACAATGAGAAAGGCAGGTGGCGTTGTTCATCGTGTTCATTACTGCACTACTTCAATGTGTGTGGGGGTCTCATTTGATGGATTCTATTCTTCAACTAGTAAATTTCACATCATTTTAACTAATAAAGGAAAGTGTTTAAAAACAGATGTTAAAATTTATGTTATTAGTCATAATAAGCATAGCAATAAGCAATTAGATATATCTTTTTTAGATTGTCATACGCATGAAATTCACATAAATTTTAACTAATAAAAAAAGTATTGAAAAAAATGTTAAAAAAGTATATTATTTGTCGTAATAGGCATAGCAATAAGCAATTAGATATATCTTACTCTTTATGATCCTTAAGATGTTAATAAACATGCTCTTATTTTTTTTTACATTTTTTTTAGAAAACATACACTTATGAGTGTAGAAAAGTATATTCAAATTCTGATGTACATACATTGATAACAATGATACAAAAACCATCTTCTAAGTGCTCAGCCAAAAAGAAAAAATGATGGATTCTTCCATTTGCTAAGACAATTATAGCATTTTTCTTGCTTTAAGAGTTTAGGATTTATGTGACACAAAACAACAAAGACATTTTGTAACTTGTCCAAAACATGCATGTTAGTGTTTGTTGCTAATACTTTATCTTCCTGTTGTGTTTCTAATGTTCACCTTCTCAAACCTATATATAGAAGATTCTTACAACATTGAGGATGTTTGTGAATTCTAAATTGAAAATTCATATGCGCTTTTTGTAAGCCCTTTTCAAAGAATCTATCAAGTTTATATTCAAAGTTTTTTTTTGGTGGATGATTAGTGTAACTTGACTATAACATAGTCTTTAGTTGCACGTTGAGTGGTCAAAGTATTTGTAACTTACATATATTCACCTAGTGAGTTAAACACTTGTAAATCTTTAATTTTTGTGTTTATAAGAGTCAAAAGATACTCAACAAGAAAAAATATTGGGTGAAATTCAATACATGTTTGTGACTAGTGGTGTGTAAATCTTGAAGAGACACAAAATACTTGGTTCACACTCTTGGTTGAATAGTGAAAATCCTTCAATGATGAAGAGATTGGACGTGGCTTTAGATAAGACTATATCAATATAAAAACCTTTGTGTTTCTTCTTTTTTCGTGCTCTCTTTTATTTATTGGTCAATTTACTAGTTTTGTTTAAGTTAACGTATTTGCTAACTTGTGTTGAAAAAATGTCAAGCAAAAAGTTTTAAAATACAAAATTCAATTCTCCTTCATAAGCATTATTTTGTGTTTTTCATATGTAAAATATATGACCCAAGGTTTTGCATGAGTAAAAAAAAAAAAAAACTAAATGATCATCTACCCATTAGCCTTTTTATGCACTTGTGAAATTTCAATCTCTCATAGTATTCATCATTGATTTATACAAAAAAGTAAATAAAATCAAGATCTTACATGAAAAATTGATACGTACTTTGAATCACATTTTATCCATAGTTTCTTAATATTTACATCTCATGCAACTTTGAGAGTAGAAAATGCTCTCTAAAGTTTCACATTAGCACATTTGAGAAATTTAAATTATGCAAAAAATAATCCTAACAATCAATAGAAGGATACTCTTTATTAAGAAGTTTGAATGTCGAAACATTCCTACACACAAAGCTTTTTAACCATCAAACTATCTAGAAGTACTCTTGTTAACCTTATTCCAACTAATTGAAGGAAACTCTCAATTAAGAAGTTGAACTTGATAAGAGATCCAATTCCCTAATTTTATTAATGTTTAAAGTTAGAACACACAAGTTAAGAAGCATTTCATAATAGTAGATTATTGATATATTTAGTTTATTTTTCAAAAAAGAGAGAAAAAATGAATCAATAGAGAAAAAGAAACAGCAAAACAAGAAAAACTTATAAGTCACTACACTTACAACAATTCAGCTACTTTGCAACGAAAATATAATTTACAACATATCTAGGATGGTCATGTAATAATTATATAAGCAACATGTAAGTCATATATGTATAGGGTAGAATGATGAACTACTGAAAATAAAAACCTCACGGACTATGTACATACCATGTACAAATATAAATACACTATATAAATACATAATTGTATACAAAATAAATCCTACGCTACTAGTCAAGCATTTATACACTACCCGACTACATTTGAGTAACTAATAAAATAGAGCCACCATCAATGTGACTCACCACCGACTGCACAAGCCATCCCCGTAATCTTGTCCTACTCCCATGAAAAAATCATGATCAGCATAGTTTCAACCACAGGGAAAAATACAGGGTAAGGTTGTGAAAAGAATTCAACATATAATCATAGCATTGATAACAACATAACTACTTACAACTAAACATGTCAACTTTAATATCTTTCAACACAATAATAATATCATTAGAAACAACTTTAAACAACTTATACAACATGATAAACTTAACACATTCAACATATCAACATATATAAAACATATCACTAATGCATTGTCACACATATCAACGTATAAAGATATTTTATAATTGAGGTGAACAATTTAAGTAGTTTGACCTTACTGAATCACAGTAGTTGGAATAAATTATAAATAATGGTTGACACTGAGGACAAGATAACATAAAGCTAAAAACAACAACTAGTATAAACTAGATTGATTTCTCATATTTTACCATTTAAATTAGGAAGTCTAGTACTACTATCAGTAAGGGTGAACACTAACTTGAAACCCAACCCAAAATAAAAAAATCGAGAAAAAAAAGGTAAATGGATGGGTTCGAACGGGTTACCAATTTAGGCGAGTTAAAAGTGTGGTTTAAAATGGTTAATTTTGATCGGATTTAGTTCGAGTTTTTGGACTCATCGGTACTCGAATCCAATCATCCAAACAAAATAAAGGCTAAAGTGATTATCATTTAGGCCCAAAACTCATCTTTAATCTTTATTGTTGATGCACAAATAACTATGGTTGAAGGTGTAATTTGTAACTTTCTTTTTTATATCATGTACCTAAAAAAATATTATAATATTTAAATTATTTGAAACTTTAATAGTTTTATTCATTTTGACTCTAAACAAACTAAGTAATATTTGAATGACTGAACGTGTTAAAAATGATATAAGAATTGAAAAGAAAGTGATAATAAATTGAATAAAAGTTTTATTTGGATCAATTAAATTATTCAAAGCCCAATACATTCCTATTCGTAGAAAATTGTGCGATAAAATCGAGACCCGTAAAACCAAAATCAGCCTAAATCGATAAGTTATTTGGTCGGGTTTGGGTCTAAATAATGTAAATCACGGATTATATCGGTTTGGGCTATATCGGTCCGAAACTGACTGTACTCGACCGTTGATCCCTGCTAATTATCAAGGTAGAATAGTTTGGATATGGGTCTACCACATCATTAGTTTGCAACAATAAACCCCCTATGGGATTAACCCATCAACTACCCTCCAAGTACTACGCCCCTCTGATACTAGGTTAGAGACTAAGTCCCCAACCTATTGCTTTACTTGACTGGTCATTTTATACATGAATACCTTGATGTTCCCCATATACGGATATCACATAAACCTATTGGGGACAACGGAAAATAACTTAACCATTTAGAAGCCAACTTACTTATTAAAGGATTTCAATTGAGCTTTTGGACCATCACAACGTATATTCACACAATGGAATACTCAAATTTTGAAAATAACTTTACTTTCCTCTAGTTTTTATATATCGTAACTAAGACATGTATCTAACTCATATGTCTACAGCTTAAACAACTTTAGTAGCATGCAACTTATACAACTTTATTAACTTCCAACTTCTCAACATATTCACTGACACTTAACATATTGTCATTCAATTGTACAAACAACTTAAAACAATGTATATCTTATAACTTAATAAACTTCATCAATTATCATCTATAAACAACTTTAAATATCATCATTCATATAAAAAAAAATCCGTAATATTTCAACATTTAATAACTTAGGATATCATATATTACCATATGTTATAAGAGAATTAACATATATCATTTTTGACATATAATCATCAACTATCATACAACGACAACTTCCATATAACATAACACAATTGGAGTTTCACTATTCCAATCAAACTTATCTTTATCTCATATGAAAGCTAAAAGGTTATCCACATCTCTTATGAAGACTTTAAGTTCTAACTTCATCATTTACTATACTGAAAATCACAAAAATCATAATAGTTTGCCTAAATGCTAATAACGACCTTTGCTCACTAAAAAAGGTCATAAATTGAATTATAAACCTCCTTTTTTAGGTGATTCCAAAGCCATTGAAAAGTTAACATCTAGGGCTACAACTTTTATCAAGACAACAAAGTCTAACTCAAAAAGCATTGATCGCTCGGTCCTTTCAAATCCATTAAGCAAATTTATTCTAAAGACACCCATATTCTCATCCCCAATTTTGCTCTGTCGTTTCAAAATCACTCAGCGAATTTTTTCTAAAGACACCTCTAATTTTAATCTTCAATTCTGCTTGATTGTTTCAAAATTGCTCAGCAGATTCGTCATAGAGACAATCTCTGTTGCCTGCAATTTTGGAATTTCTAAGCCTCTCTAATCCATCCTAAGCCCACCTACAAGCATAAAACTCAAATCTAAACCATCAA